TAGAAAGAATGCACCAGTTTGGTGAAATACAAAGGACGGGTCTTCTCTTTTGTAGGTTGTCCATCGTGTTTACTTTACCATGCCACACTTCCCAACACAAAGCCATAACACCTTGGGGGGGACCGACCTACACCAGACTTCTTTGAAAGGGAAACTCTGATGAGAGGGAGATTGGCCGAGGAACTTGAAAAAGGAACCACAAGAAAAAGACCCTTTGGGGTGAATGGCCCAAATCCTTTTATCAGGTTTTGAGGGATCTAACCAAACCTTATCAAGGAGACATAGAAGAGTAGACAAACACTTAATTTCCTCATCCCTTAATCCTCTACTGAAACCAAAATCCCAAGACAAAGGTGGTAAGGATAAATTCGACGAAAGGAATTTTGAGATCACCTCATTTTTATACAAGGAAACAGAGTACAGTGAAGGAAAAAGGTCTTTCAAAGGGAGATCTCCAACCCAAATGTCCTCCCAAAACTGAATAGAATTACCTGAACAAGCATCATACCTGACATAGCTAAGGAACTGCGGAAGAACTTTGTGAATTGCTTTCCAAGGTGTGGCTAGGTTAGCCCTCCTTGATGCACCAGCATCCCAACCACTCTGAACATCCATGAATACTCTTCACTACTTCGTGTCAGAGTCTATCCCGCTCGAAAGGTCATCTCCACAACCACTTCCCTAACAGAGCTGAGTTCTTTTTAAGCACATTCCCGAGCTCTAATCTTCCCTTCTCTTTGCTTCTACCCACAATATGGTCTTTTTTACCTTCTCCCGGTTCCCACAGAAAATCTCTCATCAATTTTTCCAACTTCTTCGCTTCCCTAGATGGTATTTTTAAAGATAGATAGATAATAGGTAGGTAGATTCATGAGGGTAGCTTTTATCAAAGTGATCCTCTCACCCAAAGAGATATAATTTATCTTCCAATCAGCTAGTCTCTTTTCTAACTTATCCAAGATTGGGGTCCAAAACCTACTCTCCCTAGGGTTTGCTCCCAATGGAAGCCCTAAGTAAGACAAAGGCTAGGAGGAAATGGAGCACTCAAGACAGCCTGCAATCGCCTCAACCTCCTCAAAA